TGCCTGAGAGAGACAGAGAGACAGAGACAGAGGGAGAAAGAGAATGGGGGAGAACAGGAGTTGAGTGGTGGGGATATGGAGAATCAGGGAGGAATTGGAGGAGAAGAGAAATGATAAAAAATACATTGTATGAGAAAATGAATCAGGAAAGAAATATGGTTCTAAAAAGAGTAACTCCTTTTTGAGTAAAAATTTCAGTATTCACCTTTTAGTATCTGTGTGTGGTGTGCGTGGATGGGTAGGTGATGTGTATGGGGAATGGTGTGTGTGCGTGTGTGTGTGTGTGTGTGTGTGTGTGTTGTGTATCTGTGTGTGTTGTATCATAAGGTGTGTGTAGTGTCTATCTATGTGTGTCTGTGTGTATTATATGGTTTTGGTTTTGGTTTGTTTGTTTTTTGGTTTTTCGTGACAAGGTTTCTCTGTGTAGATTTGGTGCCTTTCCTGGAACTCACTCTGTAGACCAGGCTGGCCTCAAACTCACAGAGATCCACTTGCCTCTGCCTCCCAAGTGTTGGGATTAAAGGTGTGTGCCACCACCGCCCGGCGTGTGTATTGTATGTTATGTGATGTGTGTATGCATTTATCTATGTGTTGTGTAGTGTGTTTGTGTGGTATGTATGTGCATAGGGTTATGTGGTGTGTGTTATGTATGAGCATAGGGTGTATGTGTGTGTGTCTGTGTGTGTCTGTGTGTGTGTGTGTGTGTGTGTGTTATGTATGTGCATAGAGTGTGTATTTGTGTGTGTGGTATGCATGTGCATAGAGTGTGTGTGGTGTATGTATTTGTGGTGTGTGTGTGGTATGTGTGTGCATAAAGTTGTATGGTGTGTGTGGTATGTATTTGCATAGAGTTGTGTGGTGTGTGTATTTGTGTGGTGTGTGTGTGTGTCATAGAGTGTATGGTGTGTGTATCTGTGTCTGTGGTATGTATGTGCATAGTGTGTGTGTGTGTGTGTGTGTGTGTGTGTGTGTGTGTGTGTGTGTTGTAGATATATGGATGTGCAGCATCAGACTTCCCATGCCTTCCACTATTGCTCTCCATGCTATCTTTGGAGACAGAGCCTCTCCCTGGGCCCAGCACTCACTGGTTGGCTCCACTGGCCAGTGAACTCCTGGGATTCCACCTGCCTCATCCCTCTGCAGCTCTCGCTTGCCCCCAGTGCTGTGTCACAGATGTGCACAAACATGCCCACTTTTACATTAGCATCAGGGATCCAAACTCAGGTCTGCAGGATTCCAAGGCAGGCATTTTACTGATGGAGCCATGTCCCTAGCCTCAAATGTTTAATATTTTTTCATCTCTGTCCAGAAAAGTAGTTACTGGCCTAATTTTCTTTTCTGAAAAATAAGGAGGAGTAAGTAACAAATAATTCTATAGCAACACCTTCTTTACAAATGCAATTCTGGAGACAGAAAATCCAGGCACTTGTGATGTGGATAACCAATCATAGCACCTTAAGTAGCAAAAGAGAACCTGTTATCAGTAGCTATTCTCTGGCCAAAGTTATCATCCAAATAATTCCTATATTGTTGTATTCTACTTGGAGAGAACATGAAAGTTGGAATACAAAAAAAAAAAAAAATGTGACTGAAGAGCAGAGGTCTTCTCTACACTCTCTATTTGGGATTGGACTTGCAGGTGTACAATTTGAAAAACGAACTTTCATAGCCATGGCATCTTCCTGTGTACAAACACTTCTATCCACATCAAAGTGGACTTAGAATACAGCACTTCCTTTCTTCTTTGTTCCTTTCTGGTGTGAGATGACACCAATGTGGTTTAATTGGTTCATCCTGCCATCGTGGTTCCTTCTAAATGGGGAAAGAAACTAAACAGAAGTAAAAGACACATTAGAGGATCTGTTGCTAATCCTGCCCAGTCATTTGTAATGACTGAAACTGATAGAAACTGATAGAAACTGTCCATGTCTATGAACCAAAAATAAATGTCAAGCTCCCTATAGAAAATCAGTCTCTAGCTAATGTATCCTATAGTCACTTTTTCTTAATTTCCCAATTCTTTCCCTTGTAGCTTGATGAGGTTTCTAGAGCAGGAGAAGAATCATGAGAGACCAGAGTTCCATATTTCTGAAAGAACATCAGATCTAAAGATGAACAAGGGTAAACTATGGACATACTGGGCCAGAAGAAGGGAATTCTGACCAAAAAAATGTGATGGAACCATGTAGTCAAGAAAAATCGTTCAATTCTTTTTTTTTTTTCAAAACCATTTCTCAATGTGGCAGGTCAAATATACCCATACTCCTAGCTACTTGGGGAGCTGATGTAGACTTCAGGGTTGTCTGGACTATATAACAAAAACCTTGTCAAACAAAGGATAAACATTCATTTTCTCACAACTCCATGAAAGTTCAGTGTAAATGCAAGCAAGGACAGTACTGATGCCTGTAATCCCAGAACTCGGGTAGCTAAAACAGGAGGATTATCCAGTATTGGTAGCCAATCTGGGCTACATAGTAAGTTCCCAACCAGCCAGTACTACAGAGTAATATCCTGTCTCGATGCCTCCCTGTTGGGGGCAGTGGAAGTGTAATTTAAAGGAAGATAAAAATAGTATGTTTGAAAATAATCCCTTCATTAAAGCTTAATTTTAAAAAAATCAGCATTATGAAATTATCCCAGCCTTAAAGTATTTACAGATAATCACAACAGATCCCCCAAGGAACCTGTAGGGATGCTGTTCATTGCTTTGTCATCTGTTCATTATTCTGGCCGACCCAACACTAAGTGAACTGCTCGCTCTATTGGCAATTGCTTCTGTGCTCCAATTAGTAGCTTATTTTCTATCTAAAGTAGATTGGTTTCGTGTCACTTGAATTGATTGTTATTTCGCTTTTTGTTTCTGTTTTTCTTTTGAGGAAGGGCCTCAGGCTTAAACATTATTGGGGTGTTGTGTCCATGTATCAGTACAGAATTTGTTTCCAAAAAGCAAGGCATTGAGGTTTGTTTCTTCAGGAGGGAGTTCACATGTCCCACAGCTGACATGAAGACTTTGTTCCTGTTCCCTTTCTGTTGCTGTGACAACCATCATGACCATAAAAACGCCTAAGCAGGGAAAGCATGCATTTCAGCTCACCCACTGAGGTCATAGTCCATGCTTGAGGGAAGGCATGGCAGGAAGTCAAGGTAGGAAATTGGAGACAGGACCCAGGGAGGAATGCTGCTCACTAGCTAATACAGCCCAAATCCACCTGCCTAAGAATGATACCACCTACCCTAGGCTGGGCCCTCCTGCATCCAATTAACAAACAAAACAATCCCCTCACAGATGTGCCTGCAGACCAGCCTGGTCTAGGCAAGTCCTTAATTGGGATGGCTCTAGGTTGTATCAAGTTGATGATTTAGGTTAACCAGCATAGAGTCCTGGTGAAGAACAGGGTGAAGTGATCAGAAGCACGATAGTCACTCTCCTCCCAAACAGGAGACACAGGCTGGAAAGTCTCTTGAGGTGACCTTCAAGTTTTCCAAAGGTATCAAGTATGAAAATAATGCTGTGTTTCCTAAACAGAGCTTCATATATCATGCAATGTCATTTCATTCTCTTTCCAAATTGACATTCTAAAAGTAAAAAACAAAAATAACTCATGTACTAACTTTCAAGGTGTTATTATTTTTTATTTGGTTTGTTTCAGTTAACCTGATTATTTAAAATAAAGGAAATGTGGAGGACAATGGAATTGGAAGCCCACCACCAAAACTCAGCAGCCATGACACTATCAACCATAGCAGAAATCTTTAAAACTATTGATAGGAACTAGACATTTCATATTCTTGATATTTTTAATTCAAAGCTAAGTAAGTCTTTATTGAATTTTGCTACATACTAGAATTTCATTTTTAATTTTTAAAGAGTCACCTTAATGAATTGACAACATTATCTTGGCCATTTGTGTTGTTACTATTCCTGGTTTTTCTTAGTTAGGGTTTCTAGTGCTGTGATAAAACACCATGACCAAAACAACTTGGGGAGGAAAGAGTTTATTTGGCTTACTCTTCCATGTGTTCATCATCGAGAGAAGTCAGGACAGGAACTCAAACAGGACAGGAACCTGGAGACAGGAACTGATGCAGAGGCCATGGAGCCATGATGCTTATTGGCATGGCCATTCATGACTTGCTCAGCCTGCTTTCTAATAGAACCCAGGACCACCTGCCCAGGGGTGGCTCCACCCACAATGGGCTGGGCCCTTCCCCATCAATCACTAGTTTAAAGTGCCCTGAAGGCTTGCCTACAGCCAGATCTTATGGATGCATTTTCTCAACTAAGGCTCCTTTCTCTCCAATGACTCTAGCTTGTGTCAAATTGACACAAAATTAGCCACACAGGGTTACTATTAGAATTTTTTTTCCTAATGATCACTTTAAGATACACAGCTACAGTTCTTCAAATTATGTTCTCTTTATTGTATACATTTTTTATTAACAAATCATAGTATTTAAAAATGTATTTGTCTTAACTATATAAATTAGTGGATGGAGCTTTGCAGTGGCCTTCAGGGTTCCATGAAGGAATGCTATTGAAAAGTTGATATTTGACAGCTGTCCTGTAGATCTGCCTTCTATTGCAGTGGCAAAGAATAACAAAAAAAGGCCTCTAATGGCTGGCCTTTACTTTATATCATTTCTGTAAATATATGAGACTTGAAAAAAGTTGAGAGATAAACACTTCACATGAAAAGCTTTTCTTTGAAAGATCTAGACTAGGATACTCAAGGAAATATGTAACTACAGAACTGGGAGGGATATTTGTAAGCATCTTGTCCAGATATGTGACAAATTCTAAAGCAGGTTTTTGCTTCTTTCTTTAAAAGGCAAGTTAGAAACTCACGATTTTTCATTAATTTTAGACTGACAGGCACAAGGCAAGAAAGGAGACAGCAGCCCCCCCCCCATTTCCTCAAGTGTTACTAACTTTGTGGTTTGTCATTTGCTCCATGATGTGTTCTTATGTGACTAATAGTAGGTGAGTTACAACATGCTTTAGGATTAGTTACAAACGTGAGGTCTTTTATTCCTCTCTTCTTTCGTGTGGAGCATGAAGACTTAAAACTTGGGATTGAACTTGGCTCTGTAGAAAAACCTTGCTATAGTTTTGTTACACGTGGAACGTAGAAAGTCCCCCATAGGCTCACATATAGTTCTCAAGGGTGGTGCTCTTAGCAGGTGGTAGAAACAGTTAGGAGATGGGGCTTGCTTGGAAGATCACTGGGGGCATAGCCTGGATGGACATATTCATTCTTTCCTCACTGTCTCCTCTCCCTCTCCTTCTCCCTCTCCTCCCCTCCCTTTCTCCTCTCCTCTTCCTTCCTCTTCTTTTTTTCTTCACTCCCCCTTCCTCTTTCCCCTTCCTATTCTTCTCTCCCCTCCTCTTCCTTTTTTCTTTTCTCCCTATTCCTCTCCTCCTTCCTTCCCTCCTCTCTCTCTTTCTCCTCACCCCTTCCCCACACACTGTCCTTATTTACCCTGCCTGCTGGCCTAGTGGGCCTTCATCTAGAAACAATGATGTCAAATTCCCGTGATCCAAAAGGCCGCTTCTGCTGAAACTCTCAGACAAAATCAATCTTTCCAACCCTTAAAGCTATTTGATCAGGTACTTAGACACAGGGAGGAAAAGCTGACTGGCACAGCCTGGTTCAGTTCCTCTGCACAACAGCATTCCTTTATCACTAAAGAATTTTAAAGAAAAACTAAACAATGCCACCTGCAGAAAAAGCAAAAAAAAAATCAAATGTCAGTGAAGGGTGATAGAGTAAAAGAAAAACCTCCATGTCGAAGTAGAGATGTCTGCCTTGGGAAGAATCTTATTCAGGCTGGAGGGTTGCTTCAGCTGGCAGCCTCTTGCAAGAGAGAGAATGTGAGCCAGCTCTCAGTCCTCGCCCATAGGGTTTTGTTGTTTTCTAGCCCCATTCTTCTTCCTTCCTTTCATCTGACGTATTTCCAGGGGGGTTAACACCCAAGCGCTTCAATGAGTTCAGAGAAAGGACCCTCCTGAAAGGCTTGCTTCTCAGCCCAGCTCTGCGAACAGATAAAATGAGATGACCCTTGTTGAAGTAGAGCACAAATCTTATGATCTATTTGTGTGGCCTGGCCTCACCCTATCAATCTGCCCCCTCAAAAAATTCAAAATTCCCAGAAGAAGCATTTTGACTCTTAGAGAAACCAAATTCCCACTAAACATGACTAAGCTGCCAGAAGCCAATGAGTTAGGAAACCATTTTATTGTGAACATAATCATGAAGGCTTATATATCTTCATAAACCAGGCTTTAAAAACTATTTAAACACTTGGGAACAAGGACTCCCTATGTGATTGCATATTAAAAGTAGGTTGTAAACTGCATTGGACAAATAAGTAAAAATTATCCAGTGTACAACAGGAGGTGCATAGTTAATAATATTGTATTCTTACTTTAGATTTTTCATTAGATGTATAGATTGTAGCTGCTCTAGCAATGGAGAAGATAGGTAGATAACTAGTTGAAATGTTCACTTATTCTATTATCCTAATGATGTTAACATGTATGTATGTAGCGGTAGTTTTCTCTGGTCCCACCTGGCCACGCAGTCCCTCAGGTGCTTATAAAATAATCATTCAGAAGCTTAATATTAATTACCAATTGCATGGCTTATGGCAGACTTCTAGCTAGCTAGCTCTTATAACTTAACCCGTTTCTATTAATCTATAAGTTGCCATGTGGCTGTGGCATTACCGGCCTGCTGGCATCTTGCTGCTCCTACTGCGGTGGCTCACATCTCCCCAGACTCCTTTCTTCTCTCTGAATATCTGCTTGGATTTCTCACCTGACTCTGAGCTGCCTTGCCATAGGCCAATGCATCTTTATTTATCAACCAATCAGAGCAACACATATTCCCTTCATACAAAAAAAATCCCACAGCAATGTGTTTCCTAAAGTGTGCTGTATGCCTTAAATAAATTGATACAAAAGCAATAAGTTAAATACAACAAATTAATGGAAAGAAAACACAAGAGTAAAAAAAAACTAAAGCAATAAAATTGTATGGATATATTAAATAATATTGTTGAAGGACAGAAATCAAGAATCATTACATTGATAGTTTTTGGCTTGAGCTCCTGGGCCAGTGATACAAGAGGGACTAGGGGAGGGAGTAATGAGATAGGGAGAAAGGGAGAGTAGGCATTGAAAGGTGGGGTATGGTTGACTATCATATGTTCATTCACGTAGAGATGATAGGCAGACATCTGCATTTAGAGACTGGAGCTCTTAGCAAGGTCAGGGATAGAGGTCAAGATTTAAATGTCATCAAAGGATCTTGGAGAACAGAGATCCATGCAGCGAGGGGACAGTATAGAGAGAAAGGAGCAATTTGCAAGAAGTCTGGGACACTCAGAATTCATGCATAGCTGATGACCTGCATGCCGTAAGGTCCTAGACATAGCAAACGAGTATTACTTTAGTCTGCAAGCCTGAATTTTGAATGCATAAAATACTTTACAAATCTCCACATTTTGCCGCTAAAACTGTGGTTGGAGGAGCAGATCTGGGTGTGCTTATAAAGCCTGAGTGTTTACATCATTTATCAGCTATTTTTAATGCATTTTGACAGAACACATTATTAAAATAGCTCAAAATAGAGACATGTTTCAAACGTTCAACACCTCCTTCCATTACGGCAATTTTCCTCTGAGGAAAAGACCTATCAATCAAGAAAAGCCAGCAACAATAAATAATTATTCTCATTAAAATACCTCTAACACCTGAAGGGTGCGACTACATAATTTTCTAGTTCTTTTTAGAATTGCTTATTTGTATCAACCTGTCTTTTCTATTCAATTATTCTGATATCCTAGTGGGAAAGGTGAAAATGAATAGGTGACTTTTTAATCTTGTATACTCAAGGTTGAAAAACACAAATATAAGGAGGTGGTCTGGCTAATGAGCACTGACAGGTATCTGGTTTGTGATCTGTATTCCTGGGAGTATTAGTTACCTCTTTTATGAGAATGACACAGGTTTGCTGTAGAGGTTAATGAAGAAATGAGGACATACTAAATATAGAAGCAGAATTTCTGCCCTTCAATATCAGTTACTGTACTCTCTAATAGACCAGAGACAGCCCTCTACACATTCGTCCATGGTGTATGTGATGCACACTGGGTTTAACTGGACCATCTGGAAGCATTTTATATATTTTCTTCAAGCATTTGCAGAAGCTGAATGGGGTGTGTGAGAGAGATTCCCTATCAAGCCACACCTTATGTTTGGTATTAATGTAATCATTAAGTAGAGCGTCTAAGTCAGCCGACTCACTAGAGCAAGTTTACTGGACATCTGTGGGTAATGTCTTATAAACTAAGTTTTTTTTTTTCACTTCTGGTACTGTTTAAACGTTGGTCTGGGCAATTCTTTGTTACAACGGGCTGTCCTGTGCATGGCAGCATATTCAGTATCTTCATTAGGTCCCAGCAGTACACATTTCCAAGTTGTGACAAACAAAAGTAACCCTGGACCTTAGAGTATCCTCCAGATGTAGTGAAAAAATGGGAAGGGGGTATACAGAGGACACCCCAAATTATATCTAGTTGGGAAGCAGTTGTTCAAATTTCCCGAAGCTTTGATCTTTAAATCACCTGCGAGCTGATTCATCTAAATTCGCGTTTTAACTCCACATTGTACACCAAAACACCATAAGCGTGGAAGGAAAACACAGACCACTCATTTCCAATGACTCTAGCCCACCTATCATGGTAATCAAAAGGCATCGGAACCCAGGGGATGAAGTAAAAGGGAGGGGCCATAAGACTGTCAAGACCAGTGGAAAGCAATGATTAATTCATTGCTGTTGCCTTTTCCACATGTAGGATCCAGGACCACCGGGACATGGCCATTTCTATATATTTCTAGGTGCTGATATAAGATATTTTATTACTTATCTGCTGTCATTTACCAGAAGCAATATATTTATACAATAGCATTCTGAAAGCCATAAGAAAGGAAGTACCTGAATCTTACTATCTAACGGACCCACTATCAGCAACCAGACTACTTCCTGCCCCACTTTCCTGTAAGAGCTTCCAAGAGCAACCATGATGATGCATCACGTCTCCAAGGAGCGATGTGAGTGAGACCTTCAGCTTTTCAAAGGGAGTCAGAAATATTGTTCATGTTTTGTTCCTGTATTTTCCAGGCCAATAATTTTCATGTAGCATTGTATAACCAAGACAGAATCCAGCTGTTGGGTTGGGGTCAGCTAGCGGGACTCCAGTGTCTGACTTACGTCGTTTCACCATGTGCTACTACACAATCCTGCAAATGTTTTCCAGCTCAAAAATAAATGCTATGTCTGGGACCAATTAAGCTACCAAGATTCCCTTCCTTGTCACTTCATTTGGCTTATCCAAATCAGTACCTTTCTTCATCCAGACCACCTCTTCTAAGTACCCTCACTTCCAGAGGATGCTGTGGGAAAAAAATAATCTCACTTCCCCTGGAAAATAGATGGCAGTGGACATCAATTATCCCAATTTACATCATTTATACATTAGTATTTGTAATATATATATGTATATATACACATATACATACATATATACATACATACATACACACACACACACACATATATATATATATATATCCCTATTGAAGCCATGGTTATAGCAAGTGAATAGCACCCTTCATGAAAACTCAATTAAGGAGGAATAATCTAAAAAGTAAAAATGTGTCAACTAGATGTATTTATACCCAAGTATATCTGATTGAAGACCCTCTGCATCTCCCTATCACATTTTGCCTTCCAGGTAGCTCTATCCCCATTTACTTCCCTGACGCCAGTTTCATTAGAATGCCTACTGTCACTCAAATATCTTTTTTCCATAGCCTGGACTATCTTGGTGCCTACTTAATGCCATATAAACTGCCACTGATTCTTTTGAGTTCAGTACATTGGCTGCATTCATATAAAATAGTCATTTCAACTTTTAAGGATTACTCAGTCAGGTAGGGAGAGACATTTCACATTTCACGTCTTCAGAGTAATCCCTGAAAAAACCAACTGCAATTTTCCAAACTACTCCTTTTACTAGGAACTGACAGCGGATTACTCAGTTACTTGAATATCTTACTCCTTCAAAATTGCTAATATCTTTCAAAGCAATTTTCGACATCATTCCTTATTTTAAAAAGAACACACACTAGTCTAAATACTCATGTTTCTCCAACTTTTTGAAAGGAAAATAACAAAATAAAACCACTTTCTTTGAACTCATTTTCCTGTCAGACCATCCATCCTGTAGAACCACATTCCTCACTGTACTGATTCATCTTCCTCGCCGTTTGGTTGAAGTGATTCTGATGTGTGTCACTAAGTCCAATGGTATAACATGTTGTCATTGCCTTCCTGATCCCATTCTTGACAGAGGTAACTGAAATTTCACCCATACCCACACTTCAGCCTCTCCGTGGCTTCAAAAACAGCATTCTCTCAGTCAAATCCCTCTCTTGCTTCCAGAATTATTACTTTGTAAACTTCAACTTGAATTTTTGCCCTTACCTACCCCACGACCCAGCTCTTGGTTTAATGTTTCCTCAGTATCTGTCTGGAAGCTCGATCCCTTCCTGTTTGATGTTTTCTTTGAGCCTATTTTATCCACACCTCATGGCTTCAGCCCAGTCTGTGCACTGATGACCAAAACCTGTAGACTGCAGGAATAGTTCCAAGTACCCATTAGAGACACCCACATAAACACCCCAAATTTAACACAACTGAAGAGAAATATCCAAATGAGCATGCACTATGGCTTGCATGGGCCTCTTTCTCAGATTAATATCCAAAAGTTTTTCATTTCTGATAGCTTTATAATCTACTCATTTCTCAAGTCATAATCCAAAGAGTCACATTACTCTTCTCTTGCTCTGTTTCTCTTCCACCTAAATTGGTTATGAAAGCCATTTTGACTTTTAAATTCTGTTTGTGATCTTTCAACCCAACTGTAATATGCAGGAACTAAAAGCAAATGGGGAAAAAGCAACAAGA